CGCGATTGGCTGTCAGCATTTCATTCAGATTCAGACTGTAGCTCACACAACAATATCAAATTTCTCCCTAAATATTCGTTTCTTTCTATGCTAGCCACAATAATAATTTAGGCTTACATTGCCTCTGCAGGCAGTTGTAGTAGTTTGATATTCCAATCCTTTGTTTCCGAAAAATAGTCGATTTTGTGATCAAAATGTACATTTCGTAATACAAATCCCTATTGCACTGACTGGCTTTACTGGCTGCGAGCTTGAGAGATCCCGCGCGTGCGCACTGAAATTGGTTACGCGTTGTACACGCGAGTTGCCCTTCTATTCATTTCTTATTCTATGACAATAAGGCGACGATGACAATTATCGGAAGAGATTATTTCGCTGGCCTCAGAGTGACAAAACGTAACAAAGCAACGGTTTTACTAACACTAACTCTACTCCGAACACCAATTCTAACCCTAATCCTAATCCTTACCCTAACCTAACCCTACTCCAAATTTGTTTCTAAACCAATCTTGAAGAAAAACGTTTTGACGATATCTCATTCTGAGGTCAGCGAAATAGTTGATGCCAGAATTATCATACCTTCTCAATAATATTCAAAACGTCGCAAACTTTCTGTGAATCTGAGCCCTCAATAACATCGACCAGCAGCTGAACAGCTCTAATACGCACGGCAATATCTCGATCTTTAGCAATGTGGTCTAAATATGGTAACACTGAGTTCTCAAGGATCTCTTCCTAGAGTGAAACATAAAGCAAGTTCTATAAACAAGAGGGGAGAGCCTGGGAACGAGCTGGCAAGTTCTATTATCCGCTTGCGGGTTATGTAAACCCGCCTAAAACTCATCACCTGAGTTCTGGAAATCTCGAATCACGGGTGGAAAAAATATTTTACTTTCTGGGACCACAAGAGAGCATTGAACATTTTCTGCAAATAATCAAGTAAATCCACACCCGGACACTGTAACTGTGTGGCACCCTTAGTTATTTTGGAGAAACTGGAAGAACACTAGAATGCATAATTAAAGAACACGAACACTGTTTGGCTATATATACAAGATATGACGTCGAGCACCAAAAAAACAAATGGACAGGCAATTAGCTACCTGCTTGGAAAACCAAAACTTCAAACCTCATATAACGGCGAGAAAGTTCCTAGAATGTTGCAAAGTACGTCTAATACTTTAATTCTTATGGCTGTTCTTTCTTCACATCTAAACACACAAAAAATAGGTTTGGCGTCTATGTGCACTGTATGTAAATACCATCAAGGCATTCAAATCGTGTTATTGAACACAAGTAACACAAAACAACACAGGAACACGATACGAACACAACTCACGAACACGAACACGAACACAACTCACGAACACAACTCACGAACACGACTCACGAACACAACTCACGAACACAACTCACGAACACAACTCGCGAACACGACTCGCGAACACGACTTACGAACACGAACACAACTCGTCTCACGAACACAACTCACAGACACGACTCACGAACACAACTCACGGACACGACACATCACAACACAACACAACACAACACAACACAACACACGAACACATCACGACAAAAACCATCATAACAGATCATACTTAAAATATCTGTCCACCAAATCCTTGATATTTTCAAACCAGTTGTCGCAATAAGGATGAAGTGACTGTGCACGATGCGAGACTAACAAAATCACTGATGATTCCTTTAATGAAAAACATTTACGTCTTAATCCATCAACATCCCCAATATGTATCAAGACAGAGGGAGGTCAAATTGTTGGTATTCAAAGTCAAACACGTTTGATAAATTCAACTGCATCTCTTTATGCTATTTATTTTATTAAAAATTCACGACTATACTGCTGAATGCGCTGGGGGATAGTGAGGGTGAACTCGATATGGTATGGTGTGGTATGGTAGACGGTGTGGTTTACGATATAGTATGCACATCATGGTATACGGTATATGGTACATTATAAGGTATGATATCAAGTATGGCATAAGGTGCTGTACAGCCTGTATGGTATACAGTATGGTATGGTATATAAGGTCCAAAGGTTCATGCTTACCGGTCTCTTCTTCGTACATTTGGCTACAATAGCAAACAGTTTGTCTGCAGAACCATAAAACTCGTGTTTCTCATGTAGCTCTTCGATGTACGACAACAGGACATGGAAGTTCTCTGACACCGACGTGCAGGATGGATGTCTCTGCAAATATACACCAAACAGAAGGCTGACTCTAACGGAGCATAGGTAGGTAGTTAGGTAGATATGTAGACAGGCAGGCAGATTGGCAAGCGGTTAGGCAGGTAGGTAAGGCAGGTAGGTAGGTAGGTAGGCAGGCAAGGGTAGGCCAAGCAATACTTGCTCGTACAAAGCAATTTTTGTTAGTCAACGCAGATTAAGTTTAGGCCTTACCTCCACATATTCTTGTAACGCTGAAGCAATATCGAGAATGGATTCCCAAGCAGTATCATGTTGTTTCATGCCGTATTTCTTCACCAGTCTTTGCATTGACAACGTCACTTCACAAATCACACTTTCATTATCACATGACAACACCTAGAACATGGCAAATAGGGTCATATATGGATCCAGCTTGATAGGTAGGAGTGCTGGCGGGCGATGTCATTCAGGTTGGCTGAAACTAGTATAGACCCATTGCACATGACGTCACAGCGCCGGTGACGATGCATCTGGAGGACTAATTAGCAATCTATGCATAACATAACTTTTGTAAACAAAGCATATTTTGTAAACCTTTATAATAATTTTGTATTAAAATGGTTAATTTTTGCGCTGTATGTGGTTGTTGTACCCAAACAGATATTGTTAGGGAGCATCTGGAGGACACTCTAAGAATTTGTGACGTCAGTGCAATGGGTTAGACAAGATGCATAATCACAGAGTCAAGGGAGCTATGGCGTTGCTCTATGCATAGTTAATACTCTATGGCAAAAGTCCTTAGTATGGTCCATTGGTCCATGCATAGACCAACCTGGTAGTTAGAGTGGGATCTTAGATATGATGATTGTCAGATATGTTGACAAATAAGAATATCTAGCTGGTCAGAGAGGCTCTAAAAACCTAAACTAGAAATTGGTCCCTCGCTCAGTTGATAAATTCATGTCTGTTGGCCATTAGATCAGTGGGTTCTAAATCCAAACGGAGGCCTACGCTCGAAAACGTCGAAGTTCATTATATTTTTCAGGTAGATTGATCCTGTGTTTGCCCAAGAATATCTTTTACAAAAACTCAGTCGTGCAGGATTGATATTCAGGCTAAACTATCGGTCGGTCACGGACATTGTCCAACCCATTCGTGAAATAGTCCGACGTAGAGAGGAAATCACTGGACATTCTGTCCGACCTAAGTGAAACTGAGGTTTATTGTTTGTCCGACCCGAGTGTATTGGTGTCCGACCTAACTGTAGCTTTGTCCGACGTCCTACCCTAGTCCAGCGCTAGAGGCTCGTGTATGTTAAATGGAGCATCAGAGTAATGTATAAAATATGAACTGGAAATGTGTAATCAAGTGCGGGGTTTTCACCGTGGGGTTTCGGAAATTCATTGCCAAGATTCAAATGCTTTTCCAAATTGTGCTGATATGAATTTGCGTCTGCATTCATACTTATTTCTAAGCCAAACTGAACTCAAAGTCGTCGAACATCAAAATAAATATGTGCATGCGACCTCAAAGTCGTCGAACAGTTTGTCAGACGGTTCTCTGAACGATATTTTAAGGCCTGATATTATTATAAGCTATACCTTATAGAAAGATGGTAAGACAGCAATAGGTTTATGCAGCAGACTGGTCACTCTCTTCGACCCCCATAAACACATCCCCACGAAGAATATTGCTCCTCTCAGCAATGAAAATTTGTTCCAGTTGTTGCTGTAATATCAATATATGCGCTAAAACTTGTCAAACAATCAATTAATCATTAACTGATCAATCAACCAATCAATTGATCAGTAATCAATAAATTATTAATTAATTAATCAATAAATAAATTAATCAAGTAATTAATCAAATAATTAATCAATCAATCAACTAAGCATACTATCAATTAATCAATCAATAAATTAATTTTATCAATAAATTATTAATTAATTAATTAATCAATAAATCAACTAATCAATCACTACATTAATCATCAATTAAATCAATCAATTAATCATTTTATTGATATCATAGAGTAGCACTCTCATTTTTCATTTACACAAATTTTCATTTGCGTAAATGAATATCCCACTTCTTTTTAAATTCCATGTCTTCCACAATACAACCAATCCACCTCGGGGAAAATGCCCCCGCTCTTGTTTATATCTAACCTGTCTTCCAAGATACAACACATAGTGAGGACTCCATTATGACCAAGATGTGTTCCAAGTAAATGTCTCATCAGCTGTAACAACACAAGCATTTCATTGTTAAATCTCAAACTCATGTGGAAAGCGCGTGCTTAAATAGGAATTCGTACTTTACCAAACCATGCTTGCAAAACCAGCAATTTCCAGCTACCCCCTCCCCCCTTTCAATGTTGAAAGCTTCTAAATTGGTCGAGTTAAAACTTTATGAAAGGCCATGTCAAAATTCAAAAACCAACATTAGTACAGTATAACATAATTTGAACCATAATTTACTGATGCATTTTAATATGACTGGTAGATATATACTCAGTTTCAGATGTATTGCTGTGCGGACTAGCATAACCAGCCGAAACACATAGACTGTGGGCCCTCCTGCTTATATCGCTCTAAATAGCGAGTTTTGTGATCCCTGAACTGGCAGAGAATGAAATGTTTTTAAATATATAGAACATCATATTCTTAACAAGAATTCAAACGTTCCCACGTCCAGTAGCTGGGTATTGATGGTTTAATTAGCCTTTCTCATTCTATGCGAACAGGCCTTTAATCCGCCATTTTTTGGGTGGCCAACCTATTGGTTCATTCGATTTTTGTTAGATAAAAACTTAAATTATAATTTTTAATTTTGTTTACAAATTTATTAATGTTGTTGAAATCATGGGTGTTAAAATTCAGTACAAAATTTTGAAATTTTTCGAAATAGTAAAAAATATGCATTTTTCGTCGCGTACTGGGTTGCTGGAAACATAACTGTGGGAATCTACTTGCTAATCTCATCTTAATGTTCTAGATCTTGTAGCATGATGAATCTTTGCCCTTAGTATCCATGCATCACAGTTTTATCAAATATTTTCTTAAGTTTGGTGAGCCGCAATATTTTTTGACCTGTGATTACTCTATTAACTATTATAGAAGTTTGCAGAATTTGTCAAAAGATAAAGAATACATAAGTTCTTTGTATGTTTGCATGGCGATAAAATATAATAGTTTTGTTTGTGGAAACACCACGTAAATTTATTACTGCAGAATAAAGAATAAATTATTCTTTATTATAAAGAATACAGTTTTTCTGGTTCTTCTTCAGTGCATTCTGCTCTAGAAAGAAATCTTGTATATTCCCTATGGCAACTTGTATGATACTTGAGCTCTATTGCAACACAATCCCTATTTTCAATGTGACAAAGAATGGCATGGTCTTTCTTGAGTCGAGCAGCTTCAAGCAACTGTCCACCATCAATCAATTCACATTGCACCAGATGTTCATAAGATCGCTTACCCGAATGTCTATCTCTATTGTATTTCTGCTTCCTGCAAATAATGCAGATGTTGGGAAGGATATGGGTCGATTTTGGCAACTGTTGGTCCACTCCAAAACACGAACGAAGAAGCCTAGGTTTCCTTGCATAAGGTTCTGATTGTGTTGCTGCTTGACAACACTGTAAGTTTATTGTTTCACAATCATCGATTGCTATATGTACAAGCCAAGAAGGATTTACAATTTATTAAGTATCTTTATACAAGTACGTGCATGTACAGAACACTAGATCACTGGGTCCCTATGACTTAATATTTTTAGTTTCAATCCGTTTAGAAATTAGCAAAGAACCTGTATAAGGTATGTGAGAACATTAATTACAATAATAGCAATAAGTACAGCCATTTAAGCCAAGCACAGCAATGACACAATGAAAATTTATATTAGGAGGAGGCAGATATCACGTTTAACCCATTAAGCTGCAGAACTTCCCCATTGACGAGTAAAATCCTCTGGTATTAGACAAGTAAAAAAAAAGTATGGCAGAGTGAGGCGCATTGTATGTATATATATATATATATATATATATATATATATATATATATATATATATATATATATATATATATATATATATATATATATATATATATATATATATATATATATATATATATATAGTAAGTTGAAACTGGGTTACACTAGCAAAGTTCTGTGAGCAAAGTAAACTATGATCAAAGGACAACAGTGTATAATGACCATTCGAAGATGTCTGTTGCTTTGACGAAAGGCTTATAGACTTTTATATCAAAAACTGTGATGGTGTATTAAAACTATACATTTAGACCAATTTGGCATTTAATATCCGTACCCCCCACCCCCACCCCCCCCTGTCGAGTATCCCTGGAATTCTTCAGGGGTAAAGTGTTTTCAGCTTGGAATTCTTCAGGGGTAAAGGGTTCTAAGCTTGGAATTCTTCAGGGGTAAAGTGTTTTGAGTTTGGAATGGACCTATTCCCTAATGAACAAAATTTTGATCGAGACAAGTCTAGACAAAAATTTCATCACATTATCCACATTTTACAACATTTCCCAACGAAAGTTCAGAATATTACTAATTTTTGTGATGCTCTTTCAAGCTGTGATGAAATTTTTGTCTATATAGACTTGTCTCGATCAAAATTTTGTTCATTAGGGAATAGGTCAATTCTTCAGGGATAAAGGGTTTTGAGCTTGGAATTCTTCAGGGGTAAAGAGGTTTGAGATTGAAATTTTTCAGAGCTTGGAATTCTTCAGGGGTAAAGGGTTTTGAGCTTGGAATTCTTCAGGGGCAAAGTGTTTTGAACTTGGAATTCTTCAGGGGTAAAGGGTTTTGCATGCCAATGCCCTGAAAACATTTCGAACATGTTTATAATGTCCAATTCTGAACGATACAACCATACAACTTAAGAAGCAACAATAGCAAGCTTGTACTAGCGAAACCAAAAACTAATTCTTTGAAAAGAACATTCAGATATGCTGCTGCTAAAGTCTGGAACCAAAGTGTCAGTTAACTTAGTAGTAACTGTATTTTTTACACTTTTTGGGAGGGCTTCACTGGGGGGGGAGGGGGAGAGGGGTAGTCAGTTAAATAAATAGTAACTGTATCTTTTACACTTTTTGGGAGGGGTTCACTGGGGGAAGGAGGGGGCGTTGTAGTTTGTGTTCATCACGGCCTAATGAAAAGCAACCTTTCGATTTGTAAATATTTTAATACTGGTTGATTAGTCACCGTGTTTAAAGATGTTTTTAATAATAAAATAATAATAATCATGAATAATCTCACATGTGAGATTATCACTTTTATCAGTGCTCGAATTCTCTATAAAGCACTATACTTTATATAATAAAATACAATACAATAACAATAATAATATAATTTAGTATAATTACATAGGTGATTATTGAAAATTCTCCACGCTGATTGGTTGCCGTTGAGGTGATTATTACGCGATAATCACCTAAGCGATTTTCAAAATGGCGGCCGAAGCCTTTTTGTCAATTAAATGACGAAGAAATGTGTATTTTCTTATTTTTTCCAAATAATCACCTATGAAATTATACTAAAACAATTATTCACCTCAGGCTCGGTGATTATCGTGAATAAAAACCTCGACTTCGTCTCGGTTTTTATTCACCGATAATCACCTCGCCTTCGGCGAATAATTGTTAAATAATATAAAATATACTGTACATACACAACATTATTAATAAACAGTACTATAAATAGCTAAATACCAGGTACCTTTACAGGACCTGTCCTCCTTTTGTTTCTTTTTTACTGCTCGTGCTTGTTTGGGAGAATCCGTAAAATAATTGTGACACTTTCTATGATACCCACCGTCCTCCGGTATTGCTATTTTATCGAGACAGGAATCACTGCTATGGTCTTTGACTAAACGTCTTGCTATTTCAGCTTGATTTCCAACCGATTGTTTCCAAATTCCAACACAGCGTAAGTAAGTAGACCGGGTTGATTCTTTGAAAGGTATAATGTCGCCAACAACATTTTGTAAATGAGCATAGCATCGAATATTCGACGAATTTGAATTCAATGAAATTGTAGCTGCGGTTTTTCCCTTGGCATTTTCCGCCATAACTATTGTCAAATTAGAGATATTTAGCCAGTTTTGATTCATTGAAAGGCCTAATATTGCTGGCAGTGTAAAGAACATGGAAAAACGTTGAAAATACGATGAATTTATCCCATTTTACACGGCTTTCCTTCTCAAACTGCACTCAATCTTGAGCTAATGTTTATGTCACGTGTGCATTTTTGCGAACAAATTATTTAATTAGATCACCCTAAAGTTGACGAATCAGCAGTTTTCGCACGTTTGGGCGATGTGAATTATCGTTTCCTTAGGGCGCATTCAACCGTAAAATTTTAGCAAATACTCAAACTAAAGACGCGGGAATGTTATTGAACGGGAATAATATGATTTTATCTCAATATTTGTAGCGCTTTTGAGTTCTGCCGTTCTGTGGATCACAAAATTACAAGTTAGAGGTCAACGTCCTGTGGTCTAACATTGCTAATTTTCAAAAAGATATCGATATTAAAAATTTTACTTTGTCTACTATCTGAGAAAAGTTGATAAATGTCCGACCAATTTTTGTCCTGGCCGGACATTTGTCCTTCCAAGCAAAAAAATTATTTGCAGGCCTGCATCATCGTGCACTTTCCAGTTGATCTCGGAACTCGGAAAAAGCCTGGCACTAATTGTAAAATAGAAATCCATTTCCATTTGTAAAATAGAAATCCAGGTTTAAAATTACTCAATATCTCATAACGGTATTACATTTCTATCTCAAATTTGTCCCAGATATTCATATCACTGTGCAAGACACAGACACAAAGTTTCAAACACTTTCACAAACGAATTAGGGCGTGACAAGTGACTAAAGGTACAAAAGTGAATTTCTACTCTGTTCTGTTGCTAGTCCCAGTCCTTTTGCTCACTGTCAGATCACCCGGTTGGTGTTAGAGGAATAAATGATAATGAGTGATCATACCCTCCAGCTTGGTTCACAGAACTGCTCAACATTCACAGTATTACAAACCGCCACAAGAAATGAATACAGCGCACTAGACGGTAAGGAACTATAACGTACCACAGCATCGAGGATTGCTAACGATTGCTGAAAAATAAAATCAATTATAGGCCTGACAAATGCGTGATAATGAATAGAATAATAGATCGAAGCAAATATTATACGAAATTTAGCAAAAATAATCAAACCATGTAATCACAAAAATCGGAACACACCGCACACGGAACACATCGGCTGATAAAAATCGAACAATATTATTTTTTACAAAAATATTTTTTACAAAAATATTTAACAACGGTAGCTCTAGCAGTTAGTAACAAACTGTCCTAAAATCGTGCGCCTATATTTATAAAAACACAAACTAATTTGATCTTGATGTTTGTGATGGTACTATGAGTATGCATCCACACCGGGCTAGCTGAAAAGTTTGCCTGACCACCGTAACATCACAATTTGATCTTCTTTGATCGAAGAATATCAAAATAATATGACCCCGACCAATGGCTTAAATGACACCGCACACGCAAAGATTTCGTTTGTTTTAATCGCGGCCAACCAAAAGTCGGCCAGTTAAAATCACATTGCGCGTGCGCCATCCCATGGAGCAAAGGAGCTGCGCGCGCATTCACAAATTACCTGCACGCCTATAATAAAACCGCGCTGGAGAGAGACTATGCTAGAAAAGTTCGGTCAATCGAAGGTTCGTACCTCAACTTCCTTTTCCTTATCTGTTGTTGTAGATATTTGACATGTCTGCCTAAAAATGATTTATGTAATGTAATCATTTATGTAATCATTAACTTTTGTATTAAATTAAAATATCTTCGTAAAGCGCACGATTTTCTACTCTTGGGAACTTAAAGCAGCATCTTAAACTGTTTCTTTATGCATAAAATTACTTATATCAAGCTTTTATGCACGTGTGGGTTCAGCAGAGTGCTGAGACATTCAAAATAAAACAATATACGTTATTTCAATAGTTTTGGTTTTTTTGTGACATCCTGTATATCAAGCATACATATATTAATACAAAAGTTTTAAATGCAGTCAAAGCAAAGTGCCATTAAACTCTGCGTAGGTTTTGAGAGTGCGTTACGTAATATCTCTACTTCATGATTTTTAAAAGTTGCAATAATGAAAGCTTTATCTTACTTTACTAAACCAGAAACGACATCTTCGTCCAAATAACTAGAGTTGTATCGAATGAAATTTCTTAGTAACGGAAAGAAAGTATCCAACCTTTAAATGATAATATACAAAGTCAAAAGTTAGTTAAGAACCAAGTCCAGCAATTTCAATTTTGCCCATCCAAAAAGGGCAAAGACAATAGCAAGCTTATACAGTATAACATTCCCAGAAAAATGTAAGCAGGCATTCCGAAACAACGCGATTGGTTTTGTACTAAAATCATTGCTGGTTTACACTATATTAAAGTTTCTGTGATCACATGTAGCATATGATTTTGCATAGATAAATTGAAGGATTTGTAAGCAATGTTTGAGGAAACTGACTTAGTCAGTTAGTTCCCTCAAACATTCTTACAAATCTTTCAAAATAGTTTACCTATGCAAAATTCCTACTGTGAAATCCATAAACATGGAAATCTTTAAAGTGTATATATATAATATCAAATTTCTTATTTTCTTAAATGAAAGAACTCTTTAAGCTGTAGTGTAACTTATTTTTCAGCTTCTTGTTTTATGGTTTGTTCCCGAAATATTTCAATTTGTTTGATATGTAAATGAGTGTGAATATGTCCGCTAATTTATGACGTCATGTTGGTTGCAAGCTCTTCAACTTCTTCTATCATCCAAGATGATAATTTCAAACTTCACTCACTGGTAAATGTGATGAAACACTGGAGAAAAACGTGAACTGATATCTACAGTTTTTAGAGTTAATATATTTATAACCACTGTAAGTTGAGCTTGTGACCAACGTGACGTCATAAATTAGCGGACATATTCACACTCATTTACATATCAAACAAATTGAAATATCTCGGGAACAAACCATAAAAACAAACAGAGCAATGGGCTAGTATTCCAAAGGTCGTAGGTTCGAATCCCACCGTGGCCAGGCATATTTTTCAAGCCTGCCCGGTGTGGATAAACACTCAGAGTAACATCACACAAGCAACTTAAAGAGTTCTTTCATTTAAGAAAACAAGAAATTTCATGTCATATACACTTTAATTCGTTCAGGTATTGCAGTCACGTGGGAATATGCATGAAGTCATGTAGAACCTTACTTCAGTGGCGGTGGTAAAGCGGGGTTGTACTGTACAAATAACGGGATTTTTACACTCGTCCAATGGAAAGTGGCCTTTACTTGCAAAACTAACAAAACTAAAAATTAAGGGGTCGACGTAAAGATAATGGTTATACACGGCCTTGCGTGTTTGAACCATTGCAAGGCATTAGTTCAAAATCTTTTAGAGCAATAATTTAAGGTTTGTATTATTCATGACTTTGAAACACAACTAACGAAGCTTCGAAATAATGCAAATGCTCGACGAAAAGTGCAAATAATCGACCAAAAGTTCGAATATAGTAATTTAAAAATAGTCGAACAATATAGTACGAAATATTTGACTAATCGTCGCCACTTGACTGCGGTTGTGTTAATTGTTATTAATCATGGCCTAAAAGGATGCCTTAATTGCATGCATACGATAAATCTTTCGCTGATGAGCAAATTCATGACTTAATGGCCGTTCAAAAGCCGTCATTTTCAAATTGGCCTCCAAAAGACGGCTGGCTGGCTAAGACCCTATTTTGAAACATAAATATTACATGATATTCTTCGTTAAATGTTTTGGATAATATGACAAAATCTCCAAAACATTAACTTTCCTGAAATAAGTTCTATACATTTCAAAACCTTCTCGGGAAAACGATTTCTGACCCCCTAGGTTGGCGGTACCTTCATCACCGTAGAGCCACCTCCTACTTCAAATTCTATAAACTGGGAACCCTAATTATAATTATTTATATAGTTATACTCACTTTTCACCAAACACTACGCTTGGCATCAAGGACAATAAAAATGGACCTGTTAAAACAGAAAGTATAATATACAGGATGTTAGCTAGCCCATATATATATACTGTCCGTTTCACGGACTCTTCCCAATTGAAGTAGCCAAGGGGTTTTCCCAACTGGGTCTACTGGAAGATTTTCATTTTTTCTGATGAGAAAGTGCATTGCGTTTGATTTTATATTATTATATCAAAGAACGTTTTATTTACTTTTTCCCATTAACTATTTTCTCAAAATGTATCATGTTTAATTCATATTGGGTGTGTATTCACTGAAATGAAATGTACAAAACAAAGTGTAATCGGTGTACATCCGTGTTCATTCACCGGAAATGAAATATATAAAACAAAGTGCCATCGGGTGCATTTTCAGTGTTCATTCACCGGAAATGAAATGTACAAAACCAAGCTACCGTTGTTTCTAAGGAGAAACACGTTGAAAAAAAAAACACTATTTACTCCTGTACAAGGACTTTGATCGGTCAAAAAAAACTTTCCCAATTTACGTTTAACGGACAAAACTTTTTTTTCTGGCTAACACCCCGATATACAATACCAACCAATGCGTCACTCATACAGCCATACTGTTTTATGCCCATGCAATTATATGCAGTGAAAAACATTGCAAGAAGATATATTGCACTGATGAGGCGTAAGACGCCGAAACGTGCATGCCTGCTAGATTGTCATTGTACTATATATATTAGGTTTGTAAGCTTGGTATACAATGAAGAAATATTTTCTCGGATGTTTTTCCTAAGTATAATAAAACTTGAGAACAACTTTTACTCATATATATTTGAAGATTTGCTATTCGGGCATACTGTGATTTGTTAAAGTTCTCAGGAATAAAAACGATTTTCATCAAGCTTTCGACTCGGTTCTTCAAGTCTTCATCAAAATGTTTATGAAATGTTTGAATGTTCGCGCTGTTCTTTGCGTTGCTGTGAGCGTCTGAATGGTTCTTTAAAGCTTTATTATCTTTATAGCTTTGGAGAAATCGAATTGATTCAAGTCGCAAAAGAGGAACTTGTTTTGTTCAGAAGTGCCTTACAATTCAGCAAAGTTGCGAAACTCTAGGAAAAGCATAGTTTTAAAACTTTAATCGCTTCTTTCCTCAACGTTGCGTTGGACCAGAAAAAGATGATTGAATTGAGACTCGAGTTCAGTACAGCTAAAGCCATCGTCCAACTCCAGAGCATTTCGAGAGCATCGTCATCTAGAAAATTTTCCGCTATCGAAACAACCGTTCAAGAAGGTAGGAAGCAAACGCCAAAAGTACATACAACCAAAAAACAAGATTTTGCTAATTTCAATTCTCTTAGAAACCGTCGTTTTCTTTTCATCGCTGATATATCTGGTTGTGCTGTTCCATCTCTAGGTCTGAGAGCAGATGAAGGACTATTTCTGGCTGTGATAAAAATCCTCGTGTAAACAAATACGAGAAATACGAATAAAACGAGCAGATGGGCATAAATAATCGTGTCAAATACTGGGCTACGTATAGGCATACTGAAATTATAAGCTAGTATTAGGAAGCCTGCAGCAAACTCAAACGTCACAATTCGTTTTTTTGTCACTTGAGTGCGATGAACGAAGGGATGTACAACGCCCATGTATCTCTCGAAGCTTAATACACATAACGTGACTACGGACAGCATAGGTGGGAACAAGCCAAGCCTCAAGAATGTCCAACATATCATCTTATTTTCAACATGAATAACGTCTTTAACTAGTACGTGCGCAGTTTGTAAAGGTAAGGTTATAAAACCCGTGATTAAGTCAACTGCCGATAGATTTAATATTGTAAAGTAGCTAACTTTCCCTTTCAGTTGAGAACATTTGAAAATGGTAAGTATCGAAATACCATTTAGTAGTACTGTAGGTATAAACAACACGACATATACCACACATGCGAACACTTGATTGATGACATATTTGTTTGAAGGAATATGAGCACTAAATCCACACTCGTTAAAGTGAAAAGCAGATGAATTCTTCATGGTGGACAGTTTATGATTCTTGACAGGTAAATAAACTTTGGATCATCAACAATTAGAGACGGTTAATAAACTTCAAATCCTATAAATTACTTATTTTCTAAGTTCTTAGCTGCCCTTGTTGTAAAATTCATTGTGAAACTGATTGGTGTGAAAAATAATTGTGAAACTCATCAATAATTCGTGAAGAAAACACAAAAGATATTATGGCCGTGAAGGAGTTTGTATATCTGATACAATATCATGCTGATTTACATAAACTTAAGTTCAATCTCCTCACCAAACCCCATTCATTTATTGTAAATTGTTGAAGAATACGAATGTTCTCATCAAGACGTTTCACAAGCCATTTATACAACATTCGTCTGCGGCTCGAGTTTGTATATATCCGATACAACACGGCCTGCACTCATGTTGTATCTTAAATAGTATACGTGCAGCTGCTACAAAGTGCAAACAATTTATACAGATTGAGAATAGTAGCCCAGTATACAGATCCGGCACTTTGCTAATTAATGCAAGAAGCAGAAAAGCTGTACAGGTGAAAAAGAAAAAGCTGTATATAAAAAAGGTAACCCATGCATGCAACTTCAGCATGTTGGCGTGCTAACGATATTGAGTTTAATATCGAAAACGTTTTTACAGAGAAAAAAATTCAGGCTTTCAGCTGTCCAATGATACCTTTTTTGTATCATTATAAGAGAAAATGGCCAAATATGAATCGAATAAAAATTGCCGGAGGAAATCGTATTTTCCCACCTTTGGGAATTTGGTGAAAAAATAAATCCCATTTGGATGTAAAATTCATGAATTACAATTTTAAAAGCCCTAACATCTGGTCACTTCTCGATATTGAGCACACAAGAGTACTCAAAAACTGGATTTATTTTACCTTTTTTTTATACACCCTGAATTTTATAAGATTATATGTGTCATTCTGTCAGCGTAAGAAAATTCTTGCATCTCGTTTCTGTTCACTTGCATTAAGTTTACTTGCTGTAAGAGAGCTTTGAGATTATTGCAGTTCAGAACAATTATTTAACTAATGGAGAAATTGTTCTGTAATCAATTCTAATTGGCTAAAAGTAGTACAATTTTATTGAAATACAGTGTCAAAAAGAAAATTCATTGCCAAAAAAGTAATTCATTGCCAAAAAAGTTAAACATATAGCAAGCGCCGAAACAAACGACACGTTGATTTAATGTAATTGTTGATTTCTGACAGGTGTTATCATTGGATTAGGTCGAAGTTTCATACAAATGAGTGAATAAACTATATTTAATTCGCATGTGACTAATGTATGTATGTGTGGCTATATTATTAAGCGCTCGTGCTCAAGCGACAAAACCCGGTGCAAAGTCGGTAAGGGCAAGAGGGTAATCTCAAAGGATAGTTAAGTACACGCGCAAAGATGAAAACAAGTGTTCGGGAAACTCTTGATTTTGAATAGACCTTATGCATAATGACGTCACAAGGCATGATGCCTGCGAGGAATGCTGGTCTTAGTAGTCATCGCCCGGGAAATTTTCAATAGTGGTCATTTTGAATTGTTTAATTTTCCCGGGCGATGACTACTAAGACCAGCATTCCTCGCGGGCATCAAGCCTTGTGACGTTATTATGCATAAGGTCTATTAGGTATAATACCGACAACGGCGTTTCAGATCCGCATCGACGTGATACGGAAAGCAAATTGGCGGAAAATAGAAAACAACAAAAATACAATTTTGATCAAGTTATAATGTTGTTTTGACAAGTTTCTTCGACTTTGTATAGGTAATCGCGTGGAGCCGAGTAAAATGTAAAATTATAAGGTTTAATTTCACGTGTGTTTTCAAACCGTTAATAATTAAACCTTATTTTACGAGGAGTTATGCGATCAGCTTGTTCATAGAGGGCAAAATTTATTCGTTAGTAAATTGAACATCGTATGTCTCCCTATACTATAACCTTAAGAATAAAGTATCTGGTAATCCTATTTTAATTAATAATAAGCTAGTACCCAGGATTAATAAATATTCATGCCTTGGCGTGACGATGGACGAAAGGTTGTCTTGGGATAAACATATTGATTTTATCTGTTCTAAGGTTGGTGCCGGACCTGCCGGTGTTGGTGCAATGAGACGCGTTAAACCTTTTGTACCACTGTCGACAACCAAAATGCTACCTCATCAGTTCGATTATTGCAGCCCGTTATGGGATAATAGTGGAATTGGGCTCAAAGATAGGTTGCAAAAATACCAAAATCGTGCTGCAAGAGTAATTACTGGGGCAACTTACGATATTCGGTCATCTGAGTTACTCGATAATCTAAATTGGAAACCTCTCGAAGAAAGACGAAATTATCTTAAATCTATTTTCATCTATAAAGTTCTGAATGGCCACACCGCACCCAGTCTTAAAGAAGCATTTCGATTTAATAATGAAAGACATAATACAATACATACAATCTTAAAAATAGGGATACTGATTTAGCACCACCTATGCCGAAAAAAGAATTCGGCAAGAGGTGCTTCAGTTATAATGGTGCTTTGCATCGGAATAATCTTCCCCATGAGGCAAAAATTGCTATTGAAACAAATCGATATTGAAACAAAGAATGAGTTGAAATTTGCTTGTGTGTAATCGTGCAGCTAAAATCACTTGTATTTTTTTTGTTATATTTTGCATTTCTTGTAAATAGTTAGTTTCTTGTAAATAGGTAATTTCATGCCCCTCATGGAAACCAGCCTTCCATCGGCCGTCGTGGTTTTGTATGTATGTATGTCTTCGCCGATGTTCCTTAATGCTGCTCATATCTTAAACATACTTAATGCTACCCATAAATTTGTACTTTTTCCAGTGTTTCATCAGAAGTTTTTAATTCTTCAATAACATCATTATCCGCAACAAAAAAGCGAGAAGTCATTGTTTTTATTGCTATTTAAAACAAGAAACTTCCCGCGCTTGCGTCTCAGCTAATTTATAGGTACAGTAATTTTGCCCTGAATTTTAAGAAAAAATGCTCTCATCATATTAGGCAATCATATTTGAGTAATTTTGCCCTCTATATGATTATGCAAAAAAGTGCTGAGCTATCAAATTAGCCTAAATTCAAACGCCAAAAGACAAATCTAAAATGGCTTGCGCACAAGTTACTCGAGTTTGAGACTCTAAATAGGAAGTTACCCACTATACCTTGTCCTTGCGCTCTCAATGTTTAAGGTTTAGGATTATTGAAGGACAACTTTTTTGAATTGTAAAATAAACATATGAATAAACGTACCAATTTGCTCTTCAAAGAATAGAATATCTTTTCCATCGATAGTCAAAGCTTTCAAAAAAAGTAACCTATAGAGGAACAAAATCTATTTTCAGCCAATAATTTAAAGTGCTTATGAAA